AGGGGACATGTGGGGTGAGGTGGATACAAGGTATATATTCTTCCTGGAACGTATGATATATTTCTAATTTAGTATGTTAGATGTAAATCCGATTTTACCAAATTGATTTTCTTGGTTTAGGTTTCTCTTATATTGCCATCTGTTGCCTTTCAATATTACGTTGTCCGGATAAAATAATGTTGAGAAAGCTGTTAATTATAATCTTAGTTGTTAGGGTTGTTGCTCGTGGTGGGTTCTTTCTAGCTTGATCATGATTGAAAGTTTGCTGGATTGACAAGCTAAAGCTTGTTATGTTCATATTGGACTGTCAGGATTTGGAGAATGATGGAATTTCAAATAGACTAGATGATGATGTCAAAGTCTTCCATATGTATTTTGGAGTTGCTGATATCTAACAGCTTCTTTCTGTTTTATTGATATCGAGTTCTGACTTGAAGATATTTTTGTGAATTTAGAAGAGAAGATATGGGTATTGTAACCCTTCTAAACTATTCAAAATGAGATTGGCTCTACTGTCCTGGTTTGTTGCAGATCCGTTGACATATAATTTCCAATCATCTTTATCCAAGGTTTCTTTTTCTTTCTTTGGCTGTCCTTTGGATTGCATCAAGATACATTCTACTACAAAGTTTGTCGGTACCTGTGATTTTAATATCAATATGTGCAAAAAGTGTATGTCAAATTCGTTAAGCTTTATTGCCTATTTGATTAGTCTTCCTGACATTTTAAGCTTCTGTAAGACTTGTCTCAATTGTTGATTAGTCAAGACGTGGATTATGTGGGCCTAAAGTATAACGAGAGTTTCCTGGTGAGGTGACAACGGTATAGGTCAACTTTTCTATACTACTATAGTTAACCTCAGACCCTGTCAATTCTTTGCTTATAAAATAGATAGATTGTTATTTTTTCTCTTCTTCTCGGACAAAGATCGAGCTAACAACCTGATCTATGCTGACCAAATATAAGTACAGTGTTTCATCAATCTTCGATTTAGATAGGATAGGCAGAGAGGCTAAGAACTCTTTGAATTCATCAAAAGCTTTTTGCCATTAAAGAGTCCATCTAAATTCAAAGATATTCCTAAGAATTTTGAAGAATGGTAGATATCATTCTGCCAATCTAAACATGAATTGGCTAAGTATGGTAATTCTGCCTGTTAACCTTTACACTTTATTTACCAAAGTCGGTGCCTTCATTTCTAAAATCACTTGAACCTTCTTAGGGTTCACCTTTATCCCTCTTTGGTTAATCATGTAATCGAAAAACTTGCTTGATGTAACCCCAAAAGCACATTTACTTGAGTTAAGTCTCATATTATACTTTCTTAATATGTTGAAGGTTTCTTTGAGGTCCTTCAGATGCTTGATCAAACTCTTGCTTTTGACTATCGTATCATCCACATACATCTCTATATTGCAGTAGATCTGATCTTTGAATACTTTGTTGACCAACCATTGATAAGTCACCTCTATATTTTTCAATCCAAATGGTATGACCTTTTGTAGCAGTAAAGACCTTTCTCAGTAATAAATGATGTCTTGTCCTCATCTTTTTTCAATATTTTGATTTGATTATAGCCAAAATAAGTGTCCATGAAGCTAAAAAAGCCATGCTCAGTAATATTATTTACTAGTTGATCTATGCTAGGGAGAAGAAAACTATCTTTCGAGCAAGCCTTATTCAGGTCGATAAAGTCTACACATATTCTTCATTTCTCATTGTGTTTTCTGACCATGACCACATTGGCTATCTACTCGGGGTAGTATACCTCTTTGATAAAGTTAGCTTATAATAATTTGTCAACTTCTTCTTTGACGGCTTGTTGTTATTCAAGGGCAAAAGTTTTTTTCTTTTGTCGAACTGGTTTGACCTTGAGATTAGTATGTAGTCTATGGACCATTACTTCAATATCAGTTTTGGGCACATCGAACTGTGTCCAAACAAATAGGTCAGCATTATCCTTTATGAGTTGAATAAATTGGTCTTTAGGTTAGAGCTTGGCTTCGATCTGTATTTATTTTTATGGAATGCTATTCTAGAACAAAATTGTCATGAGGTCTTCAGCTGGCTTAGGTCAATTTTTGTTCAAGCCCTATCTTTGATTAATTATCTTTTTTTATTTCATTAAGTCGAGATCATTTCATGTGAAAATAGGTCTCAATGAGATTATTAGTGTATTGAATAACTTGTTCAACGTATTAGTAGAAGTGAAGTATATTTTTCATTTAATACTATATTTTGACCAGCGTGATAGCTTAGTCCAAGTAACATCAATTTTTTATGTTGACTTAAGAGCTTGGTCATTTTTACTATTTTTTCAAAAAATTTAAAAAATTAAACAAAATTAAACTTTTACAGAGCTTAGGAGCTCAAAGCAACTTACAAGTGCACTTCTTTTAGATTGGTCTTATGTTCTGTGTTCTTGTCAGCAATTTTTTGCTCCCTGTCAATTTTTTATGTCAGTTCCTCTTTGCTCTTCATCTCGATATCGGCCAAGCTGTTTGTTTGCTTCCTAATCTTACCTTTCATTGTCATGACATAACATTGTCATGTTATGAACTAGTCTCCCAGTACTTCTCTAACCCTTGTACGTGTTGGGAATTTTACTTTTGTCGTAACGGTTTTGGGACCGTCAGACGTAAATGAGTTTTAAAATCGAGAAAAATAAAAAAGAGTCGCCACCAATCTTTGTTAAAGTATGATTGGCCACCTAAAATATTATCTTTTTAACAAAACTATAAAAGCAGGTTTAAAGTTTATAAAAAAGACAAATGTTGATCTCCAAAAACCAGTTGGGTCCGGAAGTCAGTTACGTGTGGGGAAGGATTAGCACCCCCACAACGCCCATAAATTGGTACCATTTAATCATGCGCTATTTTTGATGTTGGATAAAATAGTTTTAACTTGAAATTTAATACTAATTCCTTTCGTTTGAAAAAATATTTTTTGCTAAAATTCTTTATTTTGAAATATTTAGAAAATCTTTAAGTTAAAGAATTATCTTAAAATTCTTCAACATCTAGGCAAAATTTGAAATAACTCTTTGCCCTTAAGATTTAACACAACAATCCTTAAAATGAAATAACACTCTTTATAGAAAATTATTAGTGACTCTCCAACATCTAGGCAGAATACCAAGAATTATTTCTTTCGAAATATTATTTTTATTTTATTTTGTAATATAACAAATTTTTTTAAAAGTATTATTCTTTTTTTATTATAAAATATTTTATCACCAAGTAGTAAATAAAAATTAAAGACAGAATAGTACAAATAAATCCTGATAATAACATGCTAACGTATGTATGTCAATGAATGTTATGTAGGATGAGATGCAATTTAAAAGTTGAATTTTTAAGTATAATGAGGCCACCCCGATTCTCCAACATTTAGGCAGAGCTTAAGTGCGACTATTTATATTTAAGATCCCAATTTAGTGTTATACTTTTTATTTATTAATCTTATTACAAATGTGAATTAAGAATTCATGTAAAAAAACTTAATGAAGTAAAGTTTTGTAAATACTCCATCATCTAGACGGCATTCGAGAACAAATTACTTCAAATGAGATTTTCACACGTGTCCTTAGAATTTTCAGAATGTTTTGAGTAAGGGCTTGAGTAGATGTTTTAAAGGTTAAGGTTTCAAGATTTTGAAGATTCAAAAATTAGGGTCTTGATTTTAGGGGTCTTGAATTTTGGGGTCTGGATTTAAAGGTTGTAATTTTAGGATTTTGGATTTTAAGGGGTTTGGATTTAAGGGTTTAAAGATTTTAGGGTTTCGAATTTTAGGGGGTTTGGATTTAAGAGATTTTGGATTTTAGGGGTTTTAGAATCCTATGGTTTTGGTTTTAAAAATTGAGGTTTCGCTTTTAAGAAAATGTGAACATCTCTAAAAATTTTCAACATCTAGGCGAATTTTTGGATCAAGTTCGATTTTAGTGATTTTCGAAATTTAATCAATAATTTCTCATATATCTCTTTTTATGAAAATTTATTAATAATAATTTTCTAACATCTAGGCGAAATTATTTTTAGAAAAATATTTTTATTCCCTCCAACATCTAGGCAAAAAAAAATAATAAAAAATAATAATTTTTTTTGAACATTTTTAATATATATTTTTAATTATTACTTGTTTTCAATTTTATTATTATTAAAATAATTAAACATTTATCATAACAAATTTAAGAACTTATTATGCATAAATATAAAAAAATATACTTAAAATAACAAAAATAATAATAATATATAAAAAATTTAGAAAAAAAAATTTTAAAAAGAAAAAAAAAATTTTTTACTTGAACCGGACCGATCAACAATTCGGTCAAAGCCAGTTTGAACCGATTTGGCGGTTTAATCTGTAGTTCAGGTGGAAGTCTACGGTTCGATCTGGTTCAGACCGGTTCAATTGGATTGATCAGCAGTTGTTGGAAGAACGTGTCAACGGGTCAGGTTACGCAGATCTTGGGTTGGATCCGGGTCAACGCGCAGATCTTTCTTGGTCGAAATGACATCGTTTTGGACTGTACCTTCTATATAAAACCAAAAAAAAATTATTGATCATTATTCTCCTATTTCAAAAAAAAATATAGAAAAAAGAGCTCTAGGGCTCTCGCCGTCCGATCATCGGACCACCGTGCCGTCACCTGCTTAGGTCCCTACCGGCGATTACGGTCGACGATTTTCGATCGTTAAAAAATGCAAAAATTATTTTGACAACTCTTTTCAACCCTCTATTTCCAGATCTGACTTTCCTTTCGTCAGAAACAGTCACAATCGTCATAGATCGGGGGCTTGAAATTTTTTACCTTTTTTTTTTTTTTTAAAGACTAAAACTGACTTTTTTTTTTTTTTTTTTGCAGGGAGCTCGACGCTGACGTTCTTCCTTACGGGGATGATTGTTTGTCCTTTTTTTGTTTCTGTTTTTGTGTTTTTGTTTTCATGGTTGGTGTGGGTTGAAAGGTTTTTTTTGTGTGTCTGGGTGTACGAGAAGGTGTTATGCGCAGTATATCTAAAGGTTTCAAAGATTTGTCCGAAGGTTTTCGAGAGGGGATGTCCGAGAGAGAACCAATCAAGGGGAAAAAGTTGAGGGTTTTTAAGGAGTTCAAAAGGGAACAGGTGGTGGCAGGGTGGCTGTCTGGTTTGGTGGCTGGACAGGGGGCTGGTCGGGTAGGAGAGTGGGCGACTAGTGGGTAGTAGAGATGGGCTGTAAGGTGACTGGTCAGGGGCGATAGCAACGTCGTACACCAGCCACCCTACTTTCTGTTTTTTTTTCTTTTTCTTATTTTCTCTTTCTTTTTTTTAATAATTAATAATTATTTTTTAAAAATATATATTTATTATTATTATTATTAATTTTAATAGTTACCTGAACAAAATCGGTGTCTACAGCTATCCCTCCTTACATATTGCTGAGAATAAAAAATATGACAAAGACAAAGACAACGATTTTGTCCAGAAGCAAATCATGATTTTTTTTTCTTTTTAAAAAAACACAAAATGATTGGGATGACACCGCAAGTCGAAAAAAAATGAATCGATCGAGATAACATCGCGAATCGAATTTATGCCTAGAGGTTCTAGAAATCATGCCCGGAGGTCTTATAGAATCGACTTGGACAATACCACAAGTCAAAAAATAAAAGAATCTATCGGGATAACATCACGAATCGAATTTATGCCTGGAGGTCTTACAAAATCGACTGGACTACACCGCAAGTTGAAAAATAAGAAATCATTGGGATAACATCACAAATCGAATTTATGCCCGGAGGTCTTAGAAATCATGTCTAAAGGTCTTATAAAATCATGCTCGAAAGTCTTACAGAATCGATTGAGATAATATCGTAAGTCAAAAGATAAAGAATCGATCGGGCTAACACCGTGAATCGAATTTATGCCCGGAGGTTTTAGAAATCATGTCGAAAGGTCTTACAGAATCGACTAGGATAACACTGCAAGATGAAAGATAAAGAATCAATTGAGATAACACCGCGAATCGAAATTATGCCCAGAGGTCTTAGAAATCATGCTCAAAGGTCTTACAGAATTGATTGGGACAACACCGCAAGTCAAAAAATAAAGAATCGATTGGGATAACACCGCGAATTGAAATTATGCCTGAAAGTCTTAGAAATCATGCTCGGAGGTCTTACAAAATCGACTGAGATAACATCGCAAGTCAAAAGATAAGAAATCAATCGAAATAATATCGCGAATCGAAATTATGCCCAAAGGTCTTAAAAATCATGTTCGGAGGCCTTACAGAATCAACTGGGACAACACCGTAAGTCAAAAAATAAAGAATTGATCGGGATAACATCACAATCAAAATTATGCTCGGAGGTTTTAGAAATCATGCCCGAAGGTCTTAAAAATCATGCTCGGAGGTTTTACAGAATCGACTGGGATAACACCGCAAGTTAAAAAATAAAGAATCGATCGGGACAACATTATGAATCGAATTTATGCCTAGAGCTCTTAGGAATCATGCCCGGAGGTCTTACAAATCTCAAAATCTTTGAATGTTCCTCTTAATCAGGGGCAATGAAACTTTAAAAATTTTAAAATCTTTTACTTAAAAGTCTTGAAAGTTATGCGCAGATGCTTTAGAAATTATGCCCGAAGGTCTTAGAGATTATGCCCGGAGGTTTTACAAAACTCAAAATCTTTGAATGCTCCTCATAATCAGAGGTAATGAAACTTTAAAAATTTGAAAATCTTTTACTTAAAAGTCTTGAAAGTTATGCGCAGAGGCTTTAGAGATTATGCTCGGAAGTTTTGAAAGTTGTACCCAGAAGTCTTAGAGATTATGCCTAGAGGTCTTAAAAATCTTAAAATCTTTGAATGCTTCTCAAAATAAGAGGCAATGACACTTTAAAAATGGTTTTCGCATGATCAAAGATTTTTAAGCCTTTAAAGGTCTTATTTGAAGAAGGTTCCTCCTAAACAGAGGTTTCAAAATTTTGTTTGAAAAATGTTCCCCTTAAATAGAGGTTTTGAAATCTTGATTGAGAACGGTTCTTCTTAAACAAAGACTTTAAAACTTTAAAAACATGCCCTTTTTTTTTTCTTTTTTATTTTTAATACTTACAAAGTTGATAAATGCAAACGTGATACAAATATCTATTCTCATCAAATGATGCTAATGAAAATGTCGATGCAAATGTCAATGCCAACGTAAGAATGCAAATGCTTGATACATTTGACTTTCTCACAATACAAATGACAATGTCTTTTTTCATGTAGATGCCCCTACAAATACCTTTTTTTAGGATGCAGATGCCATGATGCAAATGTAAATTCTTCTTATGGTGTGAATGCAAATGTCTTATACAAATGCTAATGCAAGTGATACAAATATGAATGTCTTTTTTGTGATGCAAATGCGAGCGATGCAAATGCAAAGACTCTTCTTGCCCCTTTTTTTTTTGAAAAATTTCTGTTTAAATTTTCATTGTTTCATTTTTACCCAAAAAATGATCTCAGTATTATGTACAAAATGCTTAAATAATCTTGAAAATTTTTAAAAGTGATCAAAAATTACCCCACATAAAGTATCTTTACAATTAATGAAAAACTTAGAACTCAAGACTTCTGAATCTCTTGAAAGTCGTTGACTACTATTTAAAAAGCTTATGGATGAGAGGGTAATTGACAATTCAATTCCTTTTACTAGTGGGCATATCTCATGGAATGGCTCGACGAAGGTTATGAGGATTTCTCTTGGGTTCACAAAAGAGGTAATTTTATTTTAAAAAAATACTTTTCTTTTATTGAAAACGTGATACTTTAATGTGAGTCAAAACTAGCCATTACTTTTCAAACAAGATTTGAGAAGAAGATAAGGCTATTTTTTTAAAAAAAAGAAGGTCTTTAATAGGTACTGGTCTTTCAAAAAGCTTTGTATCGAGACTTTTTATTTCGAATAAAACCTTAAAACTCAGAAATTCATTATGAAGCCTCAAAAATGACTTTAGCTCTAAATTGCCCTTTTAGGGTTTTCACCTTAGAGCTATATTTTTTTTTATCAATGAAGAATTCAACAAGTATATACAAATTCAAGGACATTGTTCTTCAATCCAAGTATCCACATTTGATCAAAATGGGCTTTTTAGGGTGTGTAACGTAGGCTGAGGTTAAGGGTTCTGAAAAAATGGATAAATAGACTCAAAATATGTTATTTAGGGTAATTAGGCCAAGGATCTTGAGGAGCATTCTCTGACTTTCTTTCTTTGTCTTTTTTTTTTAAACATTTGGCTTTAATTTCAGCAACTTTACTCACCCTTTTTTTTGTGCCTTGAATTCTCATTTTTAAGGTACATATTTTTTTTTCTCTTACTTTTTTTTATTCTAACTGAAGCTTCAGGTTCTTATCTCCAAGATTTTTTTGCTTTAAAAATGCTTAACTTCATCTTTGGCTGTTTACTTTCTTGAATCTTGAAATTCCAATTAAAGCTTTGTTCATTTTTTACCCCAGACTTTCACTTTCAAAGGGCATGTTAGATGCTTTCAATTATCAGATATTTTCTTGAAGTTGATCTTGAATATATCCTAATTTTGCCCCCCAATGTAGAAAAGGATCCTTGGCTATGGTTTTTTTGGAACAAAAAATTTAATAGGCTCAAATGGGTAACGAATGGATAATTTTTATGTACGAGAATAATAGAGAAAGATAGTCATTCATCATTTCAAACATGATCATTTGGCTATAAGAGCAAATCATTGAATATGTCCCTTTTGTTTTTTTTTTACTCTTTTTTTTTGTTTTTTTTATGCCCCATCCTTTTTTACTCAAAGTTCTAATGACGATCAAGTCATATAGGATCGATCGTATAGTTCAAAAAGGCTCTTTGGGCTCTAAACTTTTTTTAGCATTTTTTTGGTGAAAGGAAGAGAAAATGTATAAAGGTACGAAATAAATTGTCTTAAAAAGAAAGGGATTCTTTTTTTCTTTTTCTCAATGTGCCTTAAAACATGAAACAAAGGTTATTTAAGAAAAAGGCTCAAGCGTTTTTGTATCCATGGTCATAGTAAAATTTTGACACACATTGAATTATCAATTGACAATTTGAAAGAGTATCCGATTTTTGAAATTCAAAACAAACTTTCAAAATAAATCTTTTTTGTTCTTTGCCCAAGAAAAGATTATCAGCCCTTTAAGGTCTGAACTTAAACTCACATTCCCTGAAAGGTTATGGTTGATGAGTCCAATCATTTAAGTGATTAGGGACATGAAAGTATTTGAAAAGGTGTGGAGCTATTTGATGAGCTTTTTCCTAATAGTAATCACCAGTTCCTTTAAGAATCCTTTCATCTTTATTGCAAAATAAAACTTCTTTTTCTTTTTTTTAATTTTTTTTTTTTTGAAATCTCGAAAGTTACTTATGTGGGACTTTTTATTCAAACAAATGTATAAAGAGAAATTTTATAAAAAAAAATCCAAAACATTCAATTCTTCCAAAATAAGTTAGATAACTCTAAGAGACACAATGCACATATCATACATACATAAAAAAAATAAAAAAGAGATCATCATATCCTAATTTTCAAAACTTGACACCTCCCTCTTCATCTCAACTTCTCACATTGGATAATTGGATAGAGTTAACAACTTTCATTGTTCTATTACCTCCGGAGTCAGAATACCATTCTTGATAAGATTTGTAACCTTTTTTTTTAACTGTCTGTATTTTTCAGTTAAGTGGTCAATTACCCCCATATGGTAATCACACTTGCTATTGGGATCATAAATCCTTGCTGATGGATTTGATGTTATTTTTAGAGGCACAAAAATAAGATATCGACCTTTTATTAGCAAAAGTAAAAAGTAAGAAATAGGGATGGATAATTTCTCTTTATCATTCCTTAGTCTCTTTCAATTTTTTGTTGGTCGGGTGGTGGATTCAAATGTAAAAACAAGATCATAAATGACCATTTGAGGATGAGAGTTTGTTAGAAAGCTTAAATGCTGGCTTGGTTAGCAAAGATATGAGTTTTGAGATATATAGCTTATGGCAGGGTGATGGGGTTGATAAGCTGGATAAAGATTGTATGGGATAAAGCTATTAGGTATATGTCCATCCATTGTGACTGTTTACACCTTTTCTTTATTCTTTTATGATGTACTTTTCTCTTCAACATCTGTCGTCTCTTTTAACTTAATCTTA